TGGAAGATCAGAGAGACAGAACAAGCCACAGCTAACCTCACCTGGCCAACTTCTCAGCTGGTCTTGTTTCCTCAGACTGGATGCTTCTGTGTCCTCATCCCAATGGCTCTCAGCTGAACTGCTGCTCGAAAGCCTGAAGCTTAACCAGCCAAATGCTTCTAGTTTCTGGTCCTCACACCTTATGTACCTTTCTGCTTTCTACCACCACTCCCTGGGATTAAAGGCTGGCTTTCTGTGTTTAAAGGCGTGATGAGTCACCGTGCTTGGCTGTATCCTTGAACACATGGATTTCTGCCTCTGGAATGCTAGGATTAAAGGCGTGTGCTACCACTGCCTATCCTTTATGTTGAATATTGTGGCTGCTCTGTCTCTGACCCCAGATAAGTTTATTAGCATGCACAATATTTGGGGGAACACAATACCACAGAGGTCACAAGTCCAAGTTGAGTACCCAAGAGCCTCCACCTGCCTGCGGTGCCCTTCCAGTCACACTCACCCTGCAGGCAATTGCCTGCCCAGAATTCTGACACCATAAGCCAGTTCTTCCTGGTGGCAAACTTAATAAACGTGGGATTCTGTAAGTGGGACTCGCAGGGCTCTGAGTCTGGCTCTTCTACTAAGCAGAGTATCAGATTCATTCACAGGGCCATTGTTACTTCATGCTCACTGCTGTGGAGACAGCTTTTGAACAGCTATACTTTCCAATTCATGTATTCATCCATTCAACTGTTGATGGACACATGGGTTGTTTCCAGTTTGGGTTTATTACACCTTGTGCCATTTCGGGATTGTGGTGCTCGTCATTCGGTGCCCATACGCACAAGTTTCCGTTGGGTGGACGTCAAGCATTCACGCATTCGGCTTTTAATAGAAAAATATCTACCAGCCTTTCAGAAGGGGTGTATCCACTTACACCCCAATGGCAGTGTATGAGTTTATGGTCCCAACTCTCCCCAGGCTTAAATATTAAGCCTTAAATATTAATTAAATATTAAATATTAATACGACTTTAAACACCCTCTGCAGGCCAGACAAAACATACCTTCCCCCACTTTCAATCCCTTCCCCTGTAGAGAATTCAAGTCACAGAGCCCTGGGGATGATAGTGGAGTCTTTTTAGGGTCTCTTCTACCCAAGGGCGCCAAGAGGCTCCAAGAGAAAAGTTCTAATCTTGTTATCCCCACCTTAGGCCAACCCTGGCTTGTAAACCAGACCTCATCTCTTGATTTAACTCCCCTGAGCACCACAAGGCTTTGCAGATAAGTGTCTTTAAATCACCGCTGAAGAGAAGCAGGGCTGTAAATACACAATAATCCTGAGGCGCAGCAGCAGCAGGTCTGAGGGAGCCAATCCATTAAGCCGACCCCTGCCCAGAAGCTAATCCTCCGCCATGCAGCCCTTCACCCCACTGCTCTGTGAGCACTTCACCATTGCTTGCTAGGAGCCAGAGCCCTCCGCTGGAGACTGCAGACTCAAGGAAGAGCCCTGAACCCACCATGGACTCCACAGAGACCTGTGGAGACAAGCAGCAACCTATGCGTGACTGTCCCCATCGACAGGGTTAGGGACTGACACACGGGTTCTAACTTTAGCCCAGTCCAGTGACGCCTCTAAAGTGACCCTGACTCCTTGCTGATCACTCGGTCTGCGTGTGGACATGTGTGTGTGTGTGTGTGTGTGTGTGTGTGTGTGTGTGTGTGTGTGTGTGAGTGCAGGTGCCAGAGGTGTGGGCTCTCTTGGAGCTGGCGTCGTAGACAGATGTAAGCCACCCGATGAGGAGGGAACCAGCAAATGCTCTGATGGTGAGCCACCTCTCCAGCCCCATCTCTCCAATTTTTTTAGATGTTATATTCATAGAACCACCTTCACCATGTCCTATAGACTTGGATATATTGTGTTTTCATTTTCATTAAATTCTAAAAGGTTTTAATTTCTTTCTTAATATCTAAAATATCTATCTTGACCCATTTTTTGTTCAGCAATGGGTTGTTCAGTTGTCATGAGTTTGGAGTTTTCTGTTGTTTCCATTGTTGTTGAAATCCAGCTTTATTCCACGGTGGTCAGATAGGGTGCAGGGGTTATTTCAGGTTTCTCCTATCTGTTGAGACTTGCTATGTGTGCAAGTATGTGGTCAGTTTTGGAGAAAGTTCTATGAGCTGCAGAGAAGACGGTGTATTCTTTCATGTTTGGATAGAATGTTCTGTAAATATCTGTTAGGTCCAATTGATTTATGATGTCATTTAGCTCCAGAATTTCTCTGTTTAGTTTTTTTCTGGAAGGATTGTCTATTGAGAAGAATGGGGCCATCTTTGATGAGTGGGCTACAATCCATATAACCGCAGAGGTTAGGTATAGAGTAAGGAATTATGTAGGAGGGAAGGCTCTCCCAAGAAACGGGAAATATAACATCTAGATGCATAGTTATGGATGGACTGGGAGGAAGGAGACTGGAATGGGAGAATTAAATGGAGATGAGAAAGGGGGGGTATTGGGAAGGACAGCTAAAACTAAGGGTCAATTGAGGGGTCCTATGGAAACCTCTATAGTAGAAGCTTCTTAAAATATATACATGCCGGGCGGTGGTGGCGCATGCCTTTAATCCCAGCACTCGGGAGGCAGAGGCAGGCAGATCTCTGTGAGTTCGAGGCCAGCCTGGTCTCCAAAGCGAGTTCCAGGAAAGGCGCAAAGCTACACAGAGAAACCCTGTCTCGAAAAACCAAAAAAATATATATATATATATATATATATATATATATATATATATATATATGAACAAAATCTAAAATGGAATCACTGAATCATAGGGGAAACAAAGCCCCAACTAGACACCACTCACCACCAAACGAAACCTCACGTGTCGGGTTGCATCTAATTGAATTGTTGGCCAAAGGGGCATGGACACCCCCCAAACCACCCAGGCTATTGCCAAGGCTATTGGTTGCTCTCAACAAACTGATAAGGCCCTATTGCTGAAGACAACACCTACATAATTCATTAAACGTGGAAAAGTCAAGCTAGTGCCAACCTAGAACCTTCGCCCCTGCTGACTAGGGCTCATGGTACCAGAAGATATCCTGCACGCTACCAGAGAAGAAAGGTAACCACCAGCCCAGCTCTAAACTCTTCAATCTACAATGGTGACCTGCCTTCATGATACCCTGGTGCAATCGTGTTACAAAAGTTGTGGGAGTAAGCAACCACCATCTGATTGGATTTAAGGATTACTCTGTGAGGTAGAACCCATGCCTGACCCTGCGCAGGCAGCCGAGAACTGAGACTAGACAGGCCAGTGGACCACAGGGAACTACTACCGCTCTGCTAAAGAAATATAGCAACAAAACCCATACTCATAGATCAGTGTCTTGCTCAGCCATCCTCAGAGACGCTTCCTCCTGCTACAGAGGTAGGTCACTAGCACAGAGACCCACAGCTTGACAACGTGCAGAGACTACGAGACCACAGCTTGACAACGTGCAGAGACTACGAGACCTTGGAACGTTCAACTCTAAATGAGATATCTCCATCAAATCCCTCCCCTCAAGGCTCAGGGAACTCTGAGGAAGATGGGGCAGGAAGACAATAAGAGCCAGGTGGGACAGAAGACAACAAGGAGTCAAGGCCTTCTGGATCCAACAGGACTGACGCACATGTGAACCCACAGAGACTGTGGCAGCACGCACAGGACCTGCACAGGTCGGCACCGGATGAGGTCTCAGTGCTGAGAGGGGAAGCGCACACAAGCACCCATCCCTAACTCAGGAGCTGTCTCCACTGATAACTACTAGTAAAGGAAAAGTTAGTTTGCTCTAGTGGAGTCTCACTGGGTATACAAACCACCCTTAAGGGCAGGCCCTGTGCCCAGCCATAAGCGACCAACACAAGCAAACTCAATGGTATTTTTGGAAGGTTCCTTGCCCCATAATGCTCTGTCTGGGCTTTTATTTTATTTTTTTTTAATCTTACAGGTCTTTTGCTCATATATTACGGTTTCTAATTTTGTAGTTGTGGCTTTATGAGATTTCTCTATGTGTGAATGTGTGTGTGTGTGTGTGTGTTTCTTGTGCTTTTTCCTTGGCTATTTTTTTTTCCTGTTTGTTTTTTATCTTACTTTATTTTATTACTAGCATTAATTTTTATGATGCTGGTTTGTTTTCTAATGATAAAGTGAAAGAAAAGGTATGGATTTGGGTGGGTGGAAAGGTGGGGAGGATCTGGGAGGCACTGGGAGAGGGGAAATTGATCAGAATATAGTGTATGAAAAAATCTATTTTCATTTAAAAATATTATATATATATATATATTTTTTTTTTTTTTTTGGTTTTTCGAGACAGGGTTCCTCTGTGTAGCTTTGCGCCTCTCCTGGGACTCACTTGGTAGTCCAGGCTGGCCTCGAACTCACAGAGATCCACCTGGCTCTGCCTCCCGAGTGCTGGGATTAAAGGCGTGCGCCACCACCGCCCGGCTTAAAAATATTATATTTAAACTGAAATAATTTAAAGAAATTTTCATTCTATTTAGTTGTTTGTTTTTTTTGGTATGTTGGGGGGTGCATTGTGTCACGTGAGCATGTGGAGTTCAGAGGACAACTCAGAAAAGGTGAGTCTCTCCTTTGTAGATCTTAGGGATTGAACTCAGGTCCTTAGCTTTGGCAACAAGCGCTTTAACCCACTAAGTCATCTTGCTGGCCAAACATGAAATATTTTACAGGGAAAAATTTTACATTTTATGCTTTCAACAGCACATTTTTCTACGTTTTTAGTTGCTCCACATTTTCATGTTACGTTGGGCCCCACAAACCTATGTGCTGAGCCGTGGTCTCTCAGTGCAGGACAGGATGGAGTAGGATGATGCAGGATGGGGTCCACTCAGGTCATAGCAGACAGACATCTCTGTGATCCAGACCCCCTGGTTTGGGGAGCAAGAGGAAGAGCCTCCCACAGGAAGTGCCTCATGTCAGAGGATGGGAGCCTTTGTCAGTGTTTCTGCTCAGGATGAAGAGTCAGGAAGGCCCAGAGACGCCCAGGGTCCACCTGTGGGGGGCCAGGCCCTGCAGAGGGCAGCCATCCGCATGCTACAGAGGACAGTGGTTTTGGCAGGGCATGGCTGTCATGGGTCTTTCTCTGACAGTGTGGCTAACAGGCTTGAGAAGAGGCTATTTCAAGAGGAAGGTGTGCTTTTATTTATTTTAAAGGTTTTATGTCAGCTTGACACAGCTAAAGTCATCCGGTAGGAGGGAACCTCAATTAAGAAAATACCTCTAGGGGTAACCCAAACCCAGAAAGACAGTTAAGGTATGTACTCACTCATAGGTGGATTCTAGATATAAAATAAAGA